ATAAGACACAAAAGAAGAATAAATGGTGACCAAAAAAAAAAAAAAAAAAAAAAACAAAAAAAAAACATGGATATCGTAAACGACATGAAAATTGAAGGTAAAGAAGTTTACACAGGAACTGGTTACAACAAGCACATTGTTGAACTTTTCAGATGTTTCTTCCATTTACGGTGACTTTTTTTCTTATTGATGTTGTTGGCTTTTGTGGCAGAAGCAAAAAAAAAACCAACAATACAAATTCAAAAAGAATAGGAAACAACAACAGTAAGCTACTTGTTTCCTCTACACGCAGGCAAGTCCACATAGCACGCATGCTTTGTTGTTGCCGTTCTCATGAAGGCCCATTCATGCAGAGTCGCTGCACTGCTAAGTGCTTGCTGCCATCTTCATCATTATCATATGTAATTATGTATATATGTACATATATACTAAGAGTGTTGTGTGTGTGTGTGTGTGTTGAACTGCGTCATATCCCAAATTCGCTTTCGCACCGACCTCAAGTTCAACTGCAACTTTACTTGGCTCTCCCCTCTCCCTTATTACCTTATTACCACCTGCTAAGCGCGCTCAACACAAAGCCACTCCAGCTTCCAGCTACCTGCTACTGTGTATTTACATACATACACATATACATAAGTATGCATATACGAGTATGTATGAGTATATTTATATAAAACAATTATGAGATTCCCCGCTTACATTGACTCCCGCACGCCAACATTTTAACACGCTCAATTGGATTTTTGGCATAAAAATGTAGGTCAGTGTTGGGTGGCGAGTATTTACGAGGGGATTAACAAAAGTTCGGGTTGTTGGTGACTTTCAAATTGTTTTTGTTAAATCGAAAAATAAAAAGCCTTTGCAATTATTTTATTAGTCTTTTTTCAGATTTTAGAACGATCTGTTAAAATGAAGACAAGGAAACGCAAGATGACTGAGGATAGGTCAGACGCAACTCCACCACCAACGCAAACAGAAATTCGCATGTGATTCCCTTCGGATTTCGGCGTAATTTACACCCAATACAAGTATTCAGTGAATGCCAAATTGCATATGGAACGATTGCACCGTCTTTAAAGACTATTTCTAAGTGGTTCCGAAGATTCCAGACCGAGAATGTTTTTGTAGAGGACGAGCCTTTAGAAGGTTAACCAAAATCTTGCACTGATGACGTCACCTAGCTCTGGCGAAGTCCAAATGTTACGAAGCTCCACAATAGACACAAGAAATGATTGCTAATGAATTGAGCTGGAATGCCATGGCTGTATTTCAAAT